ATATAATATAATATATACAAAATAAGCTCCTCTGTATGCATATTTTGATAAAACATGCTTCCAAATTGAAAGTATCGATCTTTTTTATAAAACTTCAAAGGACAGTAGGAGTACTAGCAGTATGTGTTTGATCATAAATAAAAAAATGATTATTTTATCCATATAAGTTAAAATGGCTTTCTTATCAAATGGAAGAATTCCATAACTAAACTGTAATAAAATCAGAATGGCTGCTGTTTTCTAATGCTGATCTAAGCAAGGCTCGTTTTGAAGAAAATTTTAAAAAGTTCAACATTTTCCAAAGCAACTGCATGATTAAAACCTCCTATACAAGTTGCTTTGTATATACATAATTTAAGTTTGAAAAAGGAGCCAAGATACACAAACGGTCTGATGATATCTGCCACTTGGACTCCCTAAGAATTAGTCTGATCTGTTTGTAATAATCAGGGTGTGTCACATGAGCACTTACCCCAACCAATCAGAATGTACCACCAGAAGTACTTCCTCTCAGAGAAGAAGGAGACCGCCAGCAGAGCGTGAAGATAGAGACCCTCCACCAGAAGCCAGAAGTAACTCGCCATGACCCCATACTGGAAGAAGACCACGACTGCCTTGCAGCCTACCTATAAACACATAGATGTGGCTTACTGCTTCAAAAATGTATGCATTTATTAAACATAAATTTAATTTGATATACTTGAGGTAACTGACTCTGAAATTGATATTGATGTTTTACAAATGAGAAAATTACAGTGGCCAGCAGCGAACAGCTAAACCTGCCAAAAACGGCGAAATGCACTGCAAGCATATGAATTATGCAAACTCCAAAAAGTAACATAAAAAAACTAATGCAATTGCAAAAATGCTGCAAATACCAAAAACAACTGCAAGTAAGAAATGCTGAAAACTCGGCTCCACAAAACAGACGAGCACCAGACCACTAGCAGGACTCACCCACCAGGTCAGATGGGACCAGACCACCACATTAACGGGATGCAGAGGAAAGTTGGAGGGAAGCTGGTGGACTTCCATTTTGTTGAGTGAGTGTTTGTTTCTTGCAGTTGTTTTGTTGGTTATGTTTTTACTTCTTTCTATTTTTTATGGTTGCAGCATTTTTCTGTTGTATTTTTTATTTTTGTGGGTTTTGGAGTTTGCATCATTCATGTGTTTGCAGTGCATTTAGCTGTTTGAAGCACGTTTAGCTGTTTGCTGTGTGTTTGCACCTGTCGGCCACTGTAGAAAACTGAGTTACTGATCTGTGTTCTGTTTTATATGATAAAATACAAATGCAAACTTTCCTTCTTTTCTATGCAGAGGACTGTGTTATTTACATTTCAGAGTCATGACACAACCTAAACTCCTTGCAGTCTGACTTTAACTTTAGTGTATAAATAGTTTTTTGGTTCAAGATGTCCTAGATATATTCAATTATTTACATTCTTCACATCATATGTGCATCAACATCAGCTGTTTCAAACATTTTCGAGTTTTCCTTGAGTGATATTACATGATGGTTAAAGGTTGTTCAACATTACATTGCATTTACATAGACCGCTGTATTTATGTGCAAGTGCAAATAGCAGCAGCAGCTAGCTGTAGCACTTTTGGTGCAGCCTTGGGCACTTTCAACAGGAATTTCAAACATTTCTGCCAGAATAACAATGTAAGGTGAATTGGACAACAGTAGAAATATTTGTAAATTAAAAGTCACATGAACCTGTTTTGACATTTAGTTTGACAACAGTCCAGTTTGGCTTTAGTTCCTCTGAGATTAGCTGTTATCTTGTTAATCCAGCCTGAATTAAACTCTACTTCTCCACATTGAGTGTATGCAGAGGGATGTTTTAAACATTTATCACTTAAAGGTTTAACTCAAATGTACAAATTGTAATTGTCTGCAATTGTCTTTCATGTTAGATTTAGTATATGATCTAATAAACATCCGTATACATTTACTTAGTCAAACTCAGTCTGTTTTTATTTCTTTGTTTCAAGATTTTTGAAAGAAGTCAGACGTACAGAAACAATTTGGTAAAGAAGATTCCCATCAAAGAGCTTCTTTAGATGGGAATAGTATTTAATATTTTCTTTTACCTACATCTGTGTTGACTATATCTTCATGAGAAAAGTCCATGTTTTAAGCAAAGATTTTGTCAAGCTGTATTATTTACATTTCAGCTTTTTTTCTTGAGGAAATGGAAAATGAATGAAAGTGGGCTTGTTTCATTCTGTCACAATTTTTAAGGTTTAGTTCTATTTATGATTTAAAGTAATTATAAACTATTTGTATGTTGTTGTTTTTTTACTTTTACTTCAGTTCTTTAAAAATATTTACTTGATCTAAGACCCTCATTCCAAGTTAAATGAACTGGCAAAGTTTTTTCTGTAATTAAAACAAAATTTTTGAAGGTTTTGGGTGATTTCACAGCTGTGTTCAAAACGGGGTGATTTGTGTGTCGTAAAAAGAAAATAACTAAACTCAGTCATTAAGTATTAGCACTTAGAGATAAAGTCGAAGCTGATTTACAGTCTGATGATCTGCTCTGCAGATAAAACAGTTGACTCTAATGAAGTGAGACATGAGGAAACGACACAGAAGTTTCTGGCTTCATCAATCAAATAAGATTTAAACAGTCCTTTAAAGGCTCTGGGCCTTTTTTTCTCCTTACTTGAACTTAGCACTTATAGAAAAGTTGTTGTCAAGATAAAGTAAGACATCACAGCTCTAAATATGATTTATAGGCAATGCTGTCAGATTTAATGTTGAGCAAACAGGAACTCTCACAACATCCTGCTGGACATAGGAATAGGAAAACATCGTCCCAGGAGTGGAATGGACTTGGCAAACACTGCTACACCCAGAACATTAGGTAAACTCTGAGGCCAAGCGTTTCAGTCTGCAAAAAATCTGAAAGAGCGGCCGCACCAGTTATGGACAGAAAGTGAGAGTTTACAGGGAGATAAGACAACAGAGGACTCACTGATGCCTGGCAATTGTCGGTCTCGCCGACGTCGTACAAAACCACATCTTTGATGAAAACGGTCACAGCTTTCAGTATGAGAGACACAAACAGATTCATGTGGATGTAGTTTCTTGTACAGTGGAGCTTCCTGGAAAAAAAACATAATTGTTTAAATCCAAAATCACAATTTAAATGCAGAGAGAACAGTAGTTACTTTGTATCCTAATGTAGTGTGCTTTTATTATAAATCTGAAAAAGGAATATCCTACGTAGGGTTTAATATTTTAGCCATTTTTAAATGGGGTTTTGTGGAAAAGGTAAGATAAAGGTGTTTTATTTGGCATCAATGCATGTTCCCATGCAAGGATGAAATTTGTGCTTGGTATTTGACCCATCACACATGAGAAACACCCAAGTGGAGCAGCAGGCAGCTATATGAGTGCCTGGGAGCAGTTGGGGGTTGGGTGTCTTGCTCAAGGACACCACGACATGTGGGCATGACGGGGAGTCGAGCCTGTGACTTTCTGGTCCAAAGTCGGCTGCTCAACCACTGCACCACAGTCGCCCACATGACACTAACTTGTTGTAGATATTTGTCCGCATTAGAGATGGGATTTATGGCTCTTTTTAAAGTGAACTGGATCTTGTGGACCCTTTCATTTCAATGAGTCATTCATGTTTGAATGGCTAGTTACGGCACTATGTACGACCTACATTAGTGTGTATGGCCCTATGTAGTGCTGTACAACGTACAGCCATACCTCAGCTTACCACAAACACAACCTTTCTGACCCTTCTGAGCGCATGTTCCCCAAACCCAACACCTGCTGTTCCCCTTTGCTTGTTCTTCCTATCAGTGGAAAAGATCTCATCGTTCATTTGAAAGAGCTGTTCAAAGGTCTGGGATCATTCATGAACGTCACATCTCGAGTCCATATTAATGCTTTTACATTTACACGTGAAAAATCAAACACCACATGCACAAATGGATTCATTGCCATTTCCAGTATGCAATGTTGCCATTCAGTTCTACGCTTTTGGTCCTTCATCCCTTACTTTTAGATACAAATGTCTTTTTAATTATTTTAGGTTGTGATAGTTTCAGATGTTTGAAGAGAGGCTTGTGTTGTTGGATGAGGAGTTATAGGAGGAAAAACTTGTTTTATTTTCTTGTTAACCATGGAGATGGAAAGATGTTGCACATTTACGTGATTAATAGGGCCAAATGAGCTGCTCCTCGAAGCAGTCCATTTTGCTAATTTAACCACCGGCTTCTGGGAGCAGACCATTTTCAGTGAAATGCAGAAGTACGCCCCGCTCTGCATAATCAAATGTGCCCACAAAGTTCTGACCAATCACTCACTGCAAACCACATTGGTCTACAAGACAGAGTTCTGACTGGGGGCAATGTAAAGGAGGGGTGTCGGTGAGAAATAACAAGGAAGTTATGCAATCTCTCTCACATGAGACTGTAATAAGACATGAGGATGAAGGTATAAATCAGCCTTAAGTGTATTTCAACAAACCGGAAGTATGCACAAATCTATCTAGACCACAATGCATTGCAAAAAACTGGCTTTGATAATATGCATTAGTATCGGCAATGCTGTTCTGTCAAGTAATTAGCAATCCTTTTTATTATTGGCTCACATTAGCTGTTAATGTATTAGTCAACTCAGAATTCAATTTTATTTCTCCAAACTAAGGTTATTGAAAGAGCTCAGAAGAAGATAACTTTTCCACAGTATCACACTTCAGACTGCACCTGAGTATCCCTTTAAGAAAAGCTATTGCATGTTACAAGTTTGGTTAGTTTTTAAGCATAGCATATACTATGTTTACTATCCAGAAGCAAATATGAAAAAAACTGAGTTGACAGTAAACAGAATAGAAAACCAGAATAAATCAGAGGATTTTGCAGGAAAAATGTGGCTAATGTAAATCCTCTCTGGTGTGTTTTCAGATAAATGCCTTCCTGCTGTGCTGATAACTTGGGGTGAAGTGTGTAAAACCATCAGGCTAATCATCTCAGCAAGCCCAATGAGAAGTCACACAGCATCAAGCAGCTGCCTGAACACTGCATCTGAAGCCGAACATAAACATGGAGCGCTGTTCACATCCTGTGTTTCTGCTCCAGAATGCAAGCCAGTGGCATTTCATAACCCAGAGGAGTAAACACAAGCCTTGTTATTTAGRCAGTTACATGCAAACAGTTCAAATGCAAACTGAAAAGAAAAGCCTGCTCGCAATAATCGACACAAACTCCAGTTAAACTCATCAGTATCATGTTATTGTTCGTATGCGACCAAAACCTAAAGGTCAACGTGGAACATGGCGTAAACATGCGGTAAATTTAAGTGCTCTGGCTTTATAGTTGCACGGAGTTGTTAACACTAAAATGTTGATGACTGATGTCTAATTGTGATGACATGTCCTGCAAAAATCTGGAGTCGTTTGTGTGAAAAACACTGTAAAACCTCTATAAAATCCAGGAAGAACAATACAATATGAGGGCCTAACGTGCTTTTATTGCTCTAAATGATGGTGAAAAGGTGTATGCTATGACATTAGGCAGTATTTTTACAAATCTCCTTACCGAAAAAGACAGAGAATGATGATGGCGACCATCAGAGAAATGAGCGACACGCTGTGACCGACAGTGTAACCAACTTTGATGGCGCCAAAGAATTCCCCCTGTAGAAAGACAATAAACTGTGACCTTTCATTTAAAACAGAGTCTGACATTTAACATAAAAGCACATCAACACTGACAGAGTTGTCATCCATGGTGTTGTTGGGATTGTAACCACAGTCCATTATGTATGAGTCCAGACTGATCGGGGTCCAGCCTTCAGTGGTGCAGGTCTTGGACAGATTACCTAATGGGCAGACAGGCAAAAGGAACATTGTTATTCATTTAGGAAGTGACACAAATGGGCTTGCAAAATTTGTGGCTTTAGTTTTTTGGTGGCAATTCAGTTTTTACTGTATTTTTGTTCAGGTACAAAATTTCTGTCAGATCATCTGCATTGTTTCTGTCCAATTGTCAGCTGAAATAACGTTATTTAACATATTAGCAAACTGTTATAAGAGAAGGACAGATTTACTTTACATGATCGTGTTCTAGTGTTAGCAATAATTATCTTTGAAGTAAACTACAGCCATCAGTTTGAACCAAATTAGCCTCACGAGAGGAAATTGCAGCTAAGACTTTTGCACCTGAAACAGGAAGGAGTGACACCATGAAGGGGAAAAAGGGCAAATACTCTCACCCCATCTACATTCATTTAGTGGCCCTCTGGACCAAATAGTCCCTACCTTCATAATCTGTCTGTTAGCAATGAAATAATAGATGAGTTATTAAAATTCTCAGAAAGTAATGCTCGGATGGCTGTTGCAGCTAAATCAACATTTGCAAACACAAAAATAGTTATAACTCAGTCAGTTTTATAAATATTGAGATCAAATCTGATTAAGATTATAGTCAACCCTTATTACACATGATCTGTGAGCTAACAGATCCTACAAGATCCTTTTTTTTAAAACTTTACCATGCCAGGCTGTGAGAAATAATCATTTTCAAAGATTGTGAGTTTTTACTATAAAWATGAATTTAGGAAAGAATAGAATAAGTTTTAATGGGATGATTTGTAAGTGTGCTGTACTCAGTCCAGCTATAAAATGGAAAAACAAAGTGGGCCTACTGTATATCAGAAAGGGATTTTCTAATGCCTGCATTGCAATGTTTTTGTTAAATAGTCCATAATTATTAAAATCTATTAAGGCTTTAGGTTTTGGTGTAAAGGGGTTCAGTTGTAGAAAAAAAAAAGCTCCAAGTGTGTTCACTAAGTACGGAGCCCGCGAGGGGACATGGGGGATTTTTTTTTCTTTTTGCATTCCCACGCAAAAGTATTGCGTTACCTCGCAATACCTTTTGCGTTCCCAGCAAAAGTAGTTTATCACTGTTGTGCCTGTTGGTTTATTAACAAATTCACCTGCTCACCATTAGCAAGTTAGCTTACTGCTTTAATTCAGCTTCAAAATGAATATATCACACAGCCATGCATGGAAGTATGTCATATGCATATATTTAAACACAGTGCAGCCAGCRGAGCCACGCAACATCAATGTCCATTTCACAAACTTGTGGCGAGACATCCTGTTTTGGTAACCGGATATTTCAAAATAAAAGTCTGATTTAATTCAGTTCATATACAAAACAATTTTTTGCGTGGGAATGCAAAACAATTTTGCGAGGTAACGCAAAACAATATTGCGAGGGAATGCAAAGGTATCGCATGGGAACGCAAAAGAAAACACACACATTCACACAGCACTCTACTAGATCTCTCTAATACAGATAAATCAATCTATAGAGTCCAATCAGCACTTAAAATCACAGTCATACCCTAATGGGCCACACATCAGAGGCAGTGGGGGTTTCAGTGTCCTGCCCAAGGACACTTCGACATGTGATCGAAWAGCGGTGGAATCYAACTGCCAACTCTTGCATTAGAGGACCAACTCCTCTCACCACTCAAGCACAGCCACCCTGTCACCAGATCAAAGAATAACATTGCCAAATGGACAGCATGAGAGCATCTGCAGCCTACTTTGGCCAAGACTTTTGAGTGATGACTTTGCAAAATCAACTCCAGGTGCTCCTAAAGAACCTAAAGAACATACTGAAATTCTGCAGGAAGTACAAGMTTAGGACAAAAAAAGACTTACACAATTTTTTTTTCTGTTGAATGTTCCTCCTGACTGTTTTAAACATCTGGAACATATTTAGTACAAAGAAGACAAGGTGAGCGCTACGACAAGTCCTTTTATTGTGTCTACAGAGAAGCATCCTGATGCAATCCATGTGTTGGATTGCTTCTCTTCTAAGCCATCAATAGAGTGGTATCAAGACATCTTCCAAGAGTAGTTTCTTCCAACAATCCAGACACAGTTTGGACACCATCTGTTGAGTTTTCACAGCATGATACACCAGATGACAAATCAAAGACAATGATGAAAACAAGTAAACAATACAATGCCCATACAACAAAAACTCATCACTCGAATTTGACAAAGCCTTCCTAAGCTGACAACCAACAGTGGTTTGGTTAATGTGGCCCAAATCCATCAGTGCCACAACTGGCCCAGTTGTGGTTTGGTTTATGTGGTGCTGGCCCATGCATGGCCCACATAAACRGAACCACATCTGGGCCACCAAAGTGCAGAGTGTTAGTGCATAGTGTGGGCCAGAACTGGGCCAGAGAAATTGTGCTTTGTGTGGAAACCTATGGTTTTTTCTCAATAAGTAGGTGGATAACCATAAGCCAACAAARTGTGAATAACTTGAAAAACTGAAAGAATAAGAACAAGTCATCATGAGTCAGGATTTGGACCAGAGGTTGATAACAAACAGGCCAGGGAGAATTGAAGAAGTTATGTTGAGAAAGAACCAACAATGTAAAGATTAAATTTGATGTGTTTGCTAATAAAAGTCTTTGCAGTTTATGAAATCTGAAAACTATTCTTTTGTTTTGAACAGAAACATGTAAAAAACATTTAAGTATGAAGCATTTTTGCCACCTCTGAACTTTTGGCTATGATTGCACAATACCATTACAGTCATTTAATGTGACAGCATAGTAATGAATCTACATGCTGATAGGGAAACAATTACCCTGAAATTTTACTCATACTCTAAGATGTCACACTGAAACATAAATATGTCTCACTGGAATACATCCAAATAATAAAAGCAAAAGGAAGTGATGCCTCTTTCATTGTCTTAATCCCTCTCAGGCTCCACAGAAACGTACATGTTAAACTTTAGTTGAGTAATGTTTCTCTGGCCCTCCTCAACAGAACAGATAACAAAACAGAGAAGCACCAAAATTCAAACCCAAATTTAGTCCCTTCATTCCAAACTGGAAAGATTACCTTAATAGCCTGTCTGTATTATACAAAGAAAAGTACAGATGCATATATTTTAAATATCCAGTGTGTGGTACTGACACTACTTCGTAGGTTTTCTTTTGTTGTAGTACCATGTTTCTCTTCCTTCTTAAAAAAAATAAACCAAAGTGCTGCTGATACGTCAGTCAGACATTGTACGAGATTGAAAGGGTTGAAATCACTATTTAGAYTGRGTTTAGATTCATGATTTGATTMTTGRTCTTCTTAGGTCTTTTACTTGTCCAACAATGTTTTAAAATATAGCTCCGGTGCCATTGCAGTAACAATTTGTGGTGGTATATAAATAATAATCAGAAACACAGTACTAATATGTAAGGCATGTAAAAGTATGTAAAATTCTTTCACCAATGACGACCACATAGTTTTTTAACAGCCAAAATACAGTGAACCAACAGATCTAACATGTTTCAGAACAAATCGCTGAAAGAAATCAAAGCACAAGCTTCTGTATTTTGTTGGGTGACATTTATTTCTATTAATATATTWAACCCCAGTGGYGAAATTAGTTCTCTGCATTTTCCCATCACACATGTGTGATGGGAAAATGCAGAGAACTAATTTCCCCACTGGGAGTGCACCGGTGGCAGATTAGATGGCAGAAAGGGGAGGGGTTAATGGTCTTGCTGCAGGGCCCACAATGGGGCAAATGAGGGAGATGTGATGTCGACTTCCCCACCCAGGTTTTTTGTGTGCCAGTCAGGGGATTCAAACCTGCAACTTCCTGATCATAGGACCGCCTTTTCTAACTTCTGCACCACCACTCCCCCGCCCATGCTTTTACTGTTTATCTGAGGTACAGCAAGACTGAGATGGATGGACTCACTGTTACAGAATGATGGAGAGTGCATAGTTTTCTAAGTGAAAGTTGGGGTATGAACAACATAAAGTACAGATCTATTCAGGTTTATCAAACCATGCACACGCATGTTTCTGTGCTTCTTTCCTTCATATACCAAATATAAAACTGAGCAGACGTCAGACACCTCCCCTGACAGGCCTCTATTTCAGTATGTAAAATAGATACAAATATGTCCTGCAAGTTTGATTCTTCAATCTGCACAATCAGAAATAATTTCTAAATGCAGGAAAATGATTAATTAAATGGAATGTAAGTGAGAAATATTTCTAAATAACTGTGGGGTGTAAAAGTGTTTGCCACATGTGTACACACCCGCATAGGAGGAGTGATTGTGTGTGTGTGTGTGTGTGTGTGTGTGTGTGTGTGTGTGTGTGTGTGTGCCTGCGTGTCTTTGTGAGAATATATTTTGACAATCTACTATCCTTGTGATGACAGTTTGCATGGTCCTCACCACCCCATTTTTGGGTCAGGGGTTAGATTTAGTGCTAAGGTATAAATTAAGTTTAGGTTAGGGTTTGGTATGTTATGTAATGGTTAGGTTTAGGGTTACGCTATAGAAATGATCAGTAAATGAATGGAAGTCAATGGAAGTCCTCACAAGACAAATATAGAATAGGCCCATTTTTTCAAAATGTGGCTACCTAATGCTCCTTGTGAGGCCAAAAGTCCAGGCACAATAAGTTCAAATGCTGTTTTTGGGTGAGGGGTTAGATTTATCATATGTGTCAGGGTTATAGTATAGAAATGAATGAAAATTAATGGAAGTCAATACAAAGTCCCCATGAAGATAGCAACACACTTTTGTGTGCTTATGTTTGTGAAGATGCTGTTGTCAGTTAATTAAGTGAACCTGGAACACTAATCTGCCATCTGTGCATTTCTGAGGCTGAAATATTTCCAATATGTCACGTTTTTAATAACATTTGTAAACACACAGGAACTCATGGGTTTGGTTGAACTTAGAGACACATTTATGAAACAGTTGATATAAATAAACAAGTTTCAGCACCTCAACGGAGTGTTTTGATGCAGTCTAGGGGAGTTATA